TGCTCAAACCCCCCCCAGCCATGTCTAGCTGGGCTGAAGCTCTGAGATGCCTATCAACCTCACATGAGGGAGGCCCCTAGCCCTGCTGAAGGGCTGAAGCCTCAAGCTCTGGCTCTCAAACTTCTGAAGAATGCATTCTGAAGCTAGGGTCAGTAAGTTAGGCTTTCCCTGATTTATTCAGATACAAATCCTAGTTTGTACACTGTCACCCCCCCCAGCCATGTCTAGCTGGGCTGAAGCTCTGAGATGCCTATCAACCTCACATGAGGGAGGCCCCTAGCCCTGCTGAAGGGCTGAAGCCTCAAGCTCTGGCTCTCAAACTTCTGAAGAATGCATTCTGAAGCTAGGGTCAGTAAGTTAGGCTTTCCCTGATTTATTCAGATACAAATCCTAGTTTGTACACTGTCATTTTGATGTACTTGAACACTTGTAATATCGAGCATTTTTTAAAGAAACTCAATGAGGAGTCCTGTGGCACTTTCAAGGCTAACATTTATTTGGGTATACGCTTTCATGGGTAAAAAACTCTTTATCAGATGCATGGAGAGGCAATAACTCGTACCTCAGTGATTTCCAGTCTATGCCTTTGACAAAGTGCTTTTTAACCCACAAAAGCTTATGACCAAATCTGTTATTTATTAAGGTGCTACAGGACTTCTCATTATTTTTGCAAATACAGACTAACATGGCTACCCCTCTGAGACTTTATGAAAACTAACATTTAAATTTGTGGCTGATCAAAATTTTCCCAATACAAACCAGCCTATTTGAACTGCAAAGATTTGTCTTTAATTCACTACGGGGGTTTTTTTTTCCATTAAGTTACCTTTTGGCTTTCCTCTTCAGTTTGTGGTTATCTAAAGAAATGAAGTGGGCTGAAAAGGAAACATTACCACATGAAGGATCTGTGCAACCAGACCACAGGGCCTGATTCTTCACTCCTTTAGAACTGGTGTGAAGTGAGTGTAAAATGCTACCTAATCAGAATAGTAGCATTTTACAGCCATTTTATACACGTGTAATGAAATTCACAAGGTATGAGGCTAAGAAGAAACAAGTGTGTTGACATTTAAGTAAAATAAAACATAATAAAAGTTACTGAACCATTCTGGTAGGAATTAATTAGTGCACGATGGAGAATTTTTGATAATTTAAAATAAATTTACTTCATTTTCTATAGTCATATGTGTTTAAAACAGATTTTTAGAAATGACATATTTTAGAATGCAGGGATCATTATTTTCAGTACTGTGTTTAATTCTGACACTGGTTACCAAGTTTGTTTTATTTCAAAACATAATAAAATTGTTGGAATTTGGAAAGTTGAAAGATTATTTGACTACTTCTGTTTCAAGTATAGTTTATGGTGTTTTTTGCCACTGTTTGTCTCAGTTTCCTTCTGGAGCTGAATAAGTCTAATCCACCCTTTACTTTCTGTTTTGCAGCATTTTCTATCCTTTCCCGAGTGTTGTCATTAGGATCCTTATGCTTGTGGCTGCCAGCAGCACTGAGTGAATGAATGAATGAATGATGCCCTGGGGAATTCCAACTTCATAATTAACTCAAAATATGCTGGGCATTGGAGAGTTGCCAGAGGCAAGTCATTCTTCCTCAGTGGGAAGTCCTATACAGAATTATTCGTTAAACAAAAAGGCTAATTTTAGAATGTGTAATTAATTTTTAAGTTATGTCGTAAAAGTTGGGTGATCCAAAATTTGACCTGCCTTTATTTACATTTTTAAGTTAGAAGGGTTTCACCAACCAATTTTTCACAGGGAAAATCCTAACTCAAAGGTCTATACTGCAGTGTAAATCCAAGGTTAGTGGAATTTGAATGAACAAATCCTGGGTTACTATAGGGTTTGAGTGTCTGCACTCACTTGTAACCCCAGGTTAAGAATTGTTGAACCCAGGACCCCAACCTGGAGTCTACTTTCTATACTGTATTATGCATGTGAGACTCAAACCCCTGATATCCCAGACATCTTAGTGCTCTCCAAAAATCTGGCTGCTCTAGCCATTTGTTCATGGTAAAGTGTGGGAAAGCTTGACTGTCCAGCAAACTTGGCTGTCCACAGGACAAAGAAAATAGGTCAGTGGCCTACATAGACACTGCAAAGCAACAGTTTGAATTCTGGCTCTCAGCTTGACTCTGGGTTGAACTCTCCATCTTCCTGGGGTCCTGGGTCTGAGCCCTAGATGAGTGGGGTTTGAGTGTAGATGGAAGGGGTATGAGGCTTGAGACTGATTTCAAACTCTGGGCTTACACTGCATTGTTGTGGACATACCTTAAGTCTTCATGACACAGATCCCAGCAGAATTGTGACCTGCCTCTGAGAAGGCAGATTTAACAATTAGATTTTGAAAAGATCCTACCCTTTTGTGGGGTGAATCTGTCCCAGAGGTAAAAAAAGAGAGTCCCAATGCCAGGATACAGCAGTTGGATACTAAGAAGCCCTCCTACTGTATTTGCTTTCAGTTAATAAATAATAACATTCTTTAATCATATTTCCAATGAAAATAAGGTATTTTATTGTTATGGACCCAGGCAATTTTTTATGGGAACTATTAAAACATCTACCAGAGAAATCCAACTTGAAAATTTGCAAACAACAAAATGAACATAAAAGTTGATTTCTTCAGATGAGATGTCAGTAATTTAGAGTATTTCTAATGATTAAACTCTCAAAAATGTTCAAGTAGCAGGTCATTAAATTGTCTGAAAAGTCTACCATTCCTTTCTGGAACACATATGCTAAAACTTATAGAAATGATACAGTGTCACTATTACCAACAAGGAAAATAAACCTCATTTTACTGTAATTCAGCCAATCATAGTGCAGGAGGCTGTGGCATTATTGATGTGCGATATTCAGGTTGTTCTCATGATTGATTTGCAAAATCACAGTGGTAGGAGATTTTCAAAGGCTCTTAGGAGCCTGACTCCCATTGACTTTTAATGGAAGTTAGGTACTTAATTGAAAATATTCCTCCATATAATAATTTATGAATAACCGTACTTTGAACGCACAAATCTTTCTATTCTTAATGCTATAATCTCTCTGTTTCAGGTGGTTCCTGTGCTAAAAAAATGTGTCTGCAAAAAGGTATCACTATAATCTCTTCATCCTAAACAGACTAACTCAGGACTAGGCAATATGTGGCCTGCCTAACACATTGATCTGGCCCATGGACTGCATCTAGCTGCTTTCTATTTATAGCCTGCTGCCCATGCCACTGAATTTCTAGGCGATGGCTCAGGCAGCCAGATCCTATTTAAATAGCTCCCAGCTCCTTGTTGTGGTGCAGGGGCTGGATGTGTGAGCCCTTTAAACAGCTGCAGCAACCCCAGTAGGCTGCCAGGCAACACAATAGCAGGGGGGCCGGGAAATGCAATCCCTTTGCTGTGTTTTTAATTCAAAGCCTCCAGCCCCGGACAACTCTGGGGGAAGGCTAATCACCAGCCCTGCTCCTTCTACCCCGGCTCTACCCTTTCCAGAAGTGGAGCCAACCCGTGACTACCTACCAAAATTCATTAAATGGCCCTCTTGCGAAAATTATTGCCCACCCCTGGACTAACTCCCAACTTTTATATGAAAGAAAAAAGTTTATTAAAAAAACAAAGGAAATATAGTGGTGAAGTTCACATTGTAAGATTTCTTTTTAATGTTAAAATCCTTTGATTCCTTTCACTCACAACTATCTCTAGTCTCTTTTATCCTCCTTTTTTGTTCCCTGTTGGCCAGCAAGACTCTGATCTCCAGAATAACTGATATATATTTGTTTACTTTCAGTTTTGAAATACAATGAAACAAAAAATAGTTGAGATTCAAGGGAGAAGACCTTCCTTTACCTGTAAAGAGGGAGTGAATCAGGGTGGGGAAATGAAATAAGAGGACAGCAGGAGGAAATAAGGAGAGAGAAAGGAAAATATAAGACATTAGAAGATTCTGACAGCCTATACCAGTTTTGGGGCTTTTTTTCCTCTTTCTAATTTTATGTTTGAATATTTAATTATACATTAAATATAATATCTCAAGTGCTTTCTGTTCATTAGGTAGGAACAACAGACCTGATTTCACAGCCTTTACTAATCTCAATAGTCCCATTTATTTAAACTGTCTGGTCCTCTTTATATTTACTTTTATTGCTCCTCAAAATTTAATACTGTCTGAAAATTAAAAAAAATAGTTGGCCACTGTTTGATCTCAATTACACGTATGAAACCCTGTTCATTTGAGCTTTTAGCCAGCTGGCTTTTCCCAATATCTAAAGACCAATATGTCCCCCCTCAATTTGGAAAAGTTTCCATCTATAGTGACCATTTGTTCCCTAATCTTAAGGTATTTTTCTAACTCTAGCAAGTCAGTTTACCTCCCTTGCTATGATCACTCACCTTAACATTTAATATGTTAAGAGCCACACATATCTCTGTTAAAAGTTAAATGAAAGCATCATGTATTATTTTTAAGAAAAGAAATAATTGTAGTATTATAACTAATATTTAATCACATAAAAAGGTTCTAATATCTAATAAAACTTTAAGTGTGTCTAGTTCAGCTACACATTTTGTTGTCAGCAATGAGTTTACCTCAGAGGTAGGTAATAATTTTCTCAGGGGTGCCACTTAATGAATTTTGGTACTGGTCATGAGCCAGCTCCAACACCTACCTCTGGATGGGGCAGAGCCTGAGGTGAAAGGGGTGGAGCTGGAGCCTAGTCTCCACTCAGAACTGTCTGAGGCCAAAGGCTTTGAAGTAAAAACACAGCAAAGGGTTCCTGGCCCTGCCACTACCATGCTGACTTGTTGCCTGGGTTGCTGCTGCTATTTAAAAGGCTTGCGACTCCGGCCCTGCCAGGATGATGCCATGACCAGGAGCTGCAAGCCCTTTAAATAGCAATTTAAAATGTTCATGGCCCTGCTGCTACCATGTTGCCTGCAGTCGCCTGGGATTGCTGCAGCTACTTAAAAGGCTTGCGACTCCAGCCCCTGCTGAGATAGCAGTATGACCATGAGCTGTGAGCCATTTAAACAGGATCCTGCTGCCTGATCCACCACCTGGATATTCAGTGGCACAGGCAGCAGAATATAAATTGAAAATGGTTTACCTAGTGCGCAAAAGGCTTATATGTGAGCTATTAACTATTAATTTACACAGTCACTAACTAATGTGCATAGTGTTTTGTGATATAAATAATATAAAAGTTGCTCTACATAACAAAATTCTAATTTATAGACACTTCTAAGTAACATTCAATTTTAGGAAAATATTTTAGTCTAGCAGCTGAGCAGTGTTTTAATTCTTCAGAAATACTATAAAACAGCTTTCATATTTTTCTAAACAGATGTAGCTTAGAGCTTTTGTTTGCATAGATTGCAAATATATCTTCTCACCTCCTTCATAGTAATGCTGTGTGGAGTCCTCAAATGACCTGTCATAGCTCTGCTCAGTATAGGATGACTGTTGATATGCATAATCACCATGACCTGCAATCAGATGATAAGAAAAAGACGAAATGGTCAAGGTTAATCAAAAAGGTTCATCTGATCCATAGCTTATTTTGGCACATGCATTATGTAATTTTGTATTACACACAATGCATAGAGTACCTATTATGCTTTTTATATAATTAAATAATTACACTCAGTTTAAAGTCACATAGTTTCATAGATTAGGGGGGAAAAAAACCTAAGAAAAAAGCTCTAAAATGGGCAAATCTGAAATAGCTTGCTAATAAAGTGGCAATGCATTTGCCAAGTCTGAAGTAGCATTTTTTGCTAAACTGAGTGTGTATCCTATCATAAGGAGTCTCCTGCAGGCTTTCTGCTCCTTTCAAGATGCAGTTGGTAATGGTGCTACAATGCACATATATACACAGAACCATATGTTTTGGGAATAGGTGTTGCTGGTATTTCAGATTGAAAACAAATCTTATGGGTTATATGGTTTCCAATTTTTTAACTCTTAGATGGGGCAGTTGTACAATTCAGTACCATCTCAAGCTCTGCTGCATCAATATTAGAATTACTATTACTCAGCAAAATTACCATCTGGGTAATACTGCTGGTTCATTGGCTCTGATGAGCTTTGTCCATGGCTGTACTGTTCACTGTAATATTCTTCCTGTCCCATGTACTGTTGAGAGGAACCTGTAAACCCAAAAGAAAGAGAGAGAAAGTGAGAGTGTTTTTAAGTAGCTCATGAACCCAAGGGGAGAATTTTCATTTAGATAATCTTGAAGTAAACAGTGTTTTCTTCATGGAGAAATCACTTGAGTTTTATATGTTCAGAACCAACTTTCCCTGGGGTCCCTCATTCCCAGATCATTATGGCTTCTGTGGCATATTTATCTCTGACTGCAGGAATGATGGGATAACCACCTTTCTAGGAACTGAATAATATACTTTACCTTGCTGAGAAGGCCTATAAGGGCCCATGGGTCGCTGACCCATCATGCTGTTGCCTTGATTGCTCTGACTCATCATGGCAATGGAGGACTGCCCTTGGTAATGCTGGCTCCCTCCTTGTGCCGAATTGTAGTGTGATGTTGCTGCTTGCTGGTGCATCATGGAGACTACACAGAACATAGATAACTATTTACTAAAAGGATATCACAATTCTTTTCCTACTCTTTTTTGAACATAATTAAAACATCAGCCAATTTTGTCTTTTAAAAATTTCATCCAGATAATCATTTAGTGAATTTTCCTCAAGGGGAATGAGGGGAAAAAAAGACAGAAATTGTTTACTTTTTCTCAATGTGCATATTTAATTTTTCTACATTCTAATTCACCATAAACTGATAACATAGTCAGTTCACATCATTTTTCTGTTAGATATTCTAAAATGTATCTGGTCTCAATAAATAACAAAAATCATTTCTGCAACAGAACTACAGAAAAGGGCCCTGTATGAAGAAATGAAAGTATTTGTTCCTCTTTACCTGCATCCTTTATCTTTTATTGCATTTTTTTTTCTTTAACCAACTTTGTCTTTCATCTTCTACCTTATTTATAAGACCTGGTGACTACAGAATTTAAGTAAATTGAAGTTACAATATTTTTTCTGTATTTCATATTCCTTCCTTGAAATAATTCTAATATCTGATATGCTATTCATTGCACAGTGATGAACATTTTTGAGAGACAGGAACGGATTGTTCTTTGCTCTCTGGGCCCTTTGGGCCACTCCAGCAATGTCAAAGGCCTATAAAGAGAGTGGAAATATTCAGTGAGGAATATCACCAGCATGGACAACTTCTTTAGCTGTTCTATGATAACCCCTGTCACAGCTCACAATATGTGGGTGATATGTGTTGGGGCTGCCACAGTGTGACCAGAGTGCTGCTGTGCTTTGAAAATTCACTCTTTCATCACATGCTGAGGACCATGAGAAGTAGAGTGGAAGTTACAGTGATGCTGAGACTATTCTGACTTATTCTGAATCCAGAAAATACTGAACACAAAGGTATCTTAAAACCATCTCTTCTCCTCTCCTTCTGCTCCTGTGCAGGAATAGGGTTATACAAAATATTTACAGCACATTTTCACATCTTGTGCATATTTGAGACCCTTGAAAAGCCCTTTCAATCCCAAAAGGTAAGGAAAAGGAACCTCACCTGGGTTAGACTGCATGTTGATATTTGTTCGAGAGACGTAATTGCCTATTGACCCCTGACCTTGCATTGGCACATTCTGAGATGCAGGCACTGTATGGCTATAACCAGGCCCAGTTCCATGGCTGCTCACAGTCATGCTCAGAGAGGTTGTGGGCATTGTATTTTGGCCTGACTGCTGCATAGACACATGATTAGGACCTGAAAAATCACAACAACAAGAGTAATGCTGTTATTGACAACATACGTTCAGTATAAAAAAACGTAGTGCCTTACTTGGATTCTTGTTATGGTACCTAAGAAAGGCTAAAAAAAATACAATTATAAAATATTTTATGTACCAAAGGCCATAAAATAAAAAAAAATCCCCATATCCTCCATATTAAAACTGGTTAATTATAGATAGTCAAAACGTACCACCCCCTATCTGCTGTAAAGCTAGACTGAACCTTGTCCTAAAGACTATCAAAGTTGGCGTTGCTGCTCTGTGAGCCTGGAACAAATTTCAGAAGTGAAGGCTCTCCATTAGAAGGTTCTGCCATCTTTTTCTCAGATTAGGCAGATCTAATAGTCAGCAAGGCTGGCAAATGTTCGCTGCGATGTCAGCCACTAAACTGAATCAAGAACTCTAGAGTGTCCCAGTCCTTCAGAAGCTCAGATGTTCCCATACCAGGTTCAGTCTCTGCTTCCTGCTTCCCCTGCAGGTTATTGGCTACACCTCTCTTGTCAGGCGTGTTGCTGGGAGGACCCAACAGCAGATAGCAACTCTTCAATGCTGCTGTTACCTCCAGCATCACTACTGTATGCCCAGCAGCAGTACCAACAGACTGTCTCCTCTGTTAGGATTTAAAAAAAATAGAAGAACCTACAAGACCCTAACACCAGATGATCAATGGGAGAGAGGAGCTAGTTGGATGGGAAGGTTAGTAATGTATCCCAAGGTCCTATAAAAGGGAAAGGAAATGGAGGAAGAGGTCCTTCAGCAAACCTGCTATGAGAGAAGACAGAAAGGAGGCTCTACCTATCCTATTTAGAATAGAAAATGAGATGATGGCATTCATCTAGCCTTTGGATTCCCTCTGAA